AATTGTCCTATAGGAGATTTGACTATATGGTTATTTGGGCAAATTACGTTTATGTCTGCCTAATTGTGCTTCCTAATTGTGATTTGAGACAATTGTCGAATGTTTAGATTGATTGTTAGACTGAAATTTAGATAACCAGTTAACTGGCATAAAAAGACTCCAAAGTTTAACGGGATAATTAGTCAAGTCTCTCGAGTCCTTTCCTTTCCACTCTTCCTCGTTAGGTTTAAATTTTCATTTTGAACAAAAATATATAAAAAATAAAGGACATTTGGAGAAGAGTTATAAGTGGCATAACCGGAAACTTCATATCGAAGACAATTTTTTTATATATATTTTTTCCTTTTCAGCAATTCATGTCAATGACAGTTAATTCTCTCTTCTTTATTCGGTTTATTAGACCTGCACTTTGTATTCTCAGTACACAACGTAATATATATATTACATACAAACAGGAATAAGATATACAATCCAACAATGGATACCACCGGTGAAAGCTCATCACTTTTTTTTTTTTTTCTCCTTGCCTTTGGTCCTCATTTTTTTTAATAATTTTTTTTCCTTTTGCGTGAACTCATGTAAGGAAAACATTAAAAAAAAAAAAGAAAGAAAGGGGAAAATGAGGGTGCACAAAATGGAGTTCACATGCGATTACTATAGACGAAGGCAAGAATGCTAATTATGATTCCGGGAGAGTAAAGTAATGGTGACATGAATATGGTACAGTAATGGAAATGTATAGAATAATTTGATCACCTTCTCTTTTTTTTTTTTTTTTGTCGACACGATGGAATTCCTATAACCTAAACTAGCTTATCTCGACGTGAGTAGAAACTCCGTCGAAACTGGTCAAATGAAGACCGTCACATATTGTAACAAATTTTGTGGAAGGCAAGATTCGAACACTTGACCTTCCGCACCACCAAGCTTAAGAAGGCTTGGGATGACCACTGGACCAAAGGCCCAATGGCATTTGATCACCTTCTCAACTCCTAAGAAACAATCTACCAGCTGTCCAACTTGTACGCCTCTTTTCTTTCATAATTCTCTATCATTGCATATGATACTTATACTAACTGGGATCACTCATTATACCATCGATGCTGCAATAAGTTCCCCCTCTAAAAACCAAAACTACTCTCACAATGCCTTAAAACAGAAGGCACCTCCACCCAACTAAAGCAAAAGGGTTTCAACAATAGTAGAAAAAGACACCACGGACTCTAATCTTTACCAAAATTCCATACAAGATTTGATTTGCTCTGCTTTGGTTTCCTCTTTTTGTTTGCCCCTTTCTTCTCCTCATCCTCATGGTTAGCTGAAGAAGCAGCAGAGAGAGAGAACTGGAGAAGAAAATTTGTTTACAAGACAAGAAAGAAATTAAAAAGATCGCACCATCAAAGAGGGCCCCGCCCCCTTGACGGTGCCATGAGAGTCCAGCTAAAGCTAGCCTTCCTTACAGTAAACTTACTCCACAATTATCGCCAGCAAGCACACGTGCGTTCTTGTAATTGGTCTCTCATCCGATGCGGTCCCACGCAAAAGCCCATTTCCAGCTGTAGTAGGAAATGCTTACGATCGAAGACCCCCAAACCGAATAAGTATTTTACCAAAATCCAGCCTAGTACGACACCAAAACCCGCCGTACTGTACAACGCGTTATTTTAATCAAAATTAAAAGAAAAAAAAAAGTTAAAAACAGCGCGTTATGTGGAAGTCATGACGTGGCCATCCCCAACCTAATTACATGCAAATTGGGCCTTCCCGCAGAAATTAGTCCAGCCCAGTGACTCCAGTCTGTTTTAATCGCGCGGCCACTTTTGTTCGTTTGTTTGTTAGTTTTCTTTCTTCTCTTTTTTTGTCACGGGGCCACCCCAAACGTCAAACCTTTGTTGCCGTTGATGCACCTCATCTACACCTTAACACGTCTACTTATATACGCCTTCTCCGCTCTGCTTCCCCGGTCACCTCCTCATTAAGTACTCATCTCTCTCTCTCTGGCGCTCTCTCTCTCCCCCCCAAAGGAAGACAGAGCCATGGATCGGAAATCTTGTTTCGGACTTGCATTGATCTGCATTGTCGTCGCCACCGTCGGCGGTCAAAGTCCTGCCGCTGCTCCTGCTAAATCTCCTTCCGCGGCTACGGTGCCCACTCCTCCAGCAGCTGCTCCTACTGCTAAGCCAATCACTCCTGCAGCTCCGGTCACTGCTCCTGCTGCCGCCCCTCCAACTGCAGTTTCGAATCCTCCAGCTGCTGCTCCTACTGCTAAGCCAACTACGCCTGCAGCTCCGGTCACCGCTCCTGTTGCCGCCCCTCCAACAGCTGTTTCAACTCCTCCAGCTGCAGCTCCGGTGAGTGCACCGCCGACCGTCGCAACTCCTGTTCCGGCGTCTTCGCCTACGGCCGCAGCTCCCGGGAGCGCGCCTCCAGCTCCAGTGCCGGTGAGCTCGCCACCTGCAGCTGCGCCAGTGCAGTCTCCTCCTTCCCCGGCTCCAGAGGCTGCTACTCCACCTGCAGCTTCTACTCCTCCGGCGGCAACTCCAGCTCCGGCTTCCGAGCCTCCGGCTCCAGCTCCAAGCAAGAAGAAGGGGAAGAAGCACCATGCGCCATCACCGGCTCCCGCACCAGAGCTCCACGGGCCACCCGCACCTCCTTCCGACGCTCCCGGACCTGGCCTTGACTCGGGGTCTCCCGGTCCATCACTTCCCGATAACGTACGTGTCCTTTCATTACTTTTAAATTTTTGCTGTTATTATTCTAGATCTGTTATTTTTACGCATTTCACTTCGCCATTACTTGTTCATTTTCCGTTTCCACTCGCATCTCATTGATCTTGTTCATTGGTTAGAAAACCAAAAAGCCAAAAAAAAAAAACGCTATAGAAAATCATAGTACCAACTTTTAGTTAAAAATATTGGAATATAGTAGTGTTTATGCCGAGGATTTTAATGCCGGGAGCGGTGAATTGGCACGAGTTGTGAAACGTCCACACACAGCTTGTTAGATGGTTTTTGGCCAGTAAGCGGCGCATGGTAGTATATGGTAGCGTCTACCGACAGCGATGCGCGTGTGGTCACTGGTCGCTAATCTATAGAAGCAAACAAGGACAAATATATGTACTGTAATTGCCTTTCAAGTTGTCGGTGGGGGTATTGGTTCCAAGTTTGTACTTGAGATAAGCGCCATACTGACAGGTGAAACTAGCAGCATTTCAACTTGATTATTAATGTCTAAGATCTAAACAGATTTCAACTTGTTTAATGTCTAAGATCAAAACAGGTTGGGTAGCTAGTTAAGTTCAGTTCATGGTTTGAGATTATGCCCAAGTTTTACTGAGCTATGTACTACGTACTCGGAAAGAAGGCCTCGAGGTGTTAAACCAATAATAGCGGCGTGGGTCCTCCAGAGCCCAGCTGTGAGGGCATCTGAGGCTTGCACCCATAGCCCAACCAACGGCATGGAATCCTCGACTGTAGCGCTTCAGAACCAACTCTGATGGAAACAGCAAAAGAAAAGATCTGGGGTCGGTCCAAAAGGCAACACATGCAGCAAGTACTTGGGCCAATCGATGCACCCGCATCACGCTGAACATAATAATTCCACCAGAGAGAAATTAAAAATACAGAGTACTGCTCCCCCCAAAATAATAATAATATATAATAAGCTGTATACAAGTGGAAAAATATACTCTACTACTCATCAGTTCAGATCACAACTGGGTTCTATTGGTAGACTAGAATTACAACAGTCTATTTAAATTGCTAACACGTTCTGATTCACTAATAATCTTGAATTCTGGATCTGAATTGCAGAGTGGAGCAGAGAAATTGAAGGTGGTAGGAAGCTTGGTTCTGGGATGGGGTGTGTTTGGCTGGCTCTTCTTCTAGGGATGTAGACATCACGCGGGTGTATCATTACTGTTTTTGTCCCCACCCATCTTTGTCATTTTGGTGTTAACATATTCCTTGGTTTATGTTTATTTATTTATCACATGATGAGCAGCTCGATTTGGATCCGTTGGGGGATTTTGCCACATTGGCTTTGTAATTCTTTGGTTAGTATTCGAGGGGAAGACTGTTGTAGCTTTTTGTATTTGACTGCTTGATTCCCCGTGGACTCTATATATATATAATCCAAGAATACTTTTACCCTTTTTCGTCTGTGAAATTCTCTTGTCACCCCCCTTTTGACGAGAATTTCAATCTCCTTTTTGTTCTCTTATTTTCTTATTACCCTCCTGAAAGTTGCTAACTGCAGCAGCGACAAAGAAAAATAATAAGCAAAAGTCTTCCCGTTTCAGTAAGGAGACAAAGAAAAATAATAATGTGGACGAAAACAAAAGATTATCAATTGCTCATTGATGTACGAGAACGGGAATACCACAAAAAGCTAGCAGCTCCGTGGGAAGAACTGCTTTATTCTCCTAAACTCTCCGTTTCCTAATCTTCAAGGTTACAAAATTGCTGATTATTTCAGTTGGCTAACACCTGCTGGAAACTGAATCCCCATTTTTACCACTAGTGTTTTAATCTTCAATTTCTTTCGTGGGTCTCAATGGTTGATACTCGTCGATACTATTTTTATTCAAGCGGCGAGAAAGTCAACCGTACTCTCTTCATCGCGGTTGTTGTTAGTAACTTCGGATCTTTTCAGTTTATGCAGATGCTTCTGTTTCTTCTTAAACCTTAAACAGGCATAGGGTTTGATTTCTCAACTTAAATTCCGAAATGTCTAATTAAAAAATAAATAAAATGCTCATAACCAGTGGCGGAGCCAGGAATTAACTTTGGGGGGGCGAGTCTATAACAATGAAAGTAAAATATATTTACAAAAAAAATAATGTGAACATATATACCATAAGATTAGAAACAACCTTATATAGAATGAAAATTACTTATACGCTTCACATATACAAAAATATCATCATATTTACAAATCTATTTGACTGTGTGAGACATATGAAATTGTGCACGACGATTTTTAATTTTATCAAAGTCATCAATGATTGAATTTACATCAAAAGTTCTAGCAATTTCTTTCTCAATATACATTATCATAGAGTTGGCAAGAAAGTCTTCCTCCATCCTAGAACGCAAACAAGTCTTGATGATTTTCATAGCAGAAAATGCACGCTCTGTTGTAGCTGTTGAAACAGGAAGAGTCAAAATAAGACGAATCAATCTATCAATAAGAGTATAGCACATTGACTTTCTTGTCTTCGCTAACACTTGACACAACTCCTGAAGTGATGACAAATTTTGAAGTTGAGAATTACAGGAAAACTCAATTTGGAAAAGCTCTAATTGAGTTCTTAAGTGTAACTTCTCTTGATCTGTGAAGTCAGCTGAATAAAACTTGTTTGCAAGTTGACAAATTTGTTCAATATTGAAAGCCTGAAAATTATCTTTGGGGTGCAATGCTGAACTAAGAATAAGCAACTCTATTACATCTTCCTTAAACCTATTCTTCATTTCAAGTATTTGAGAATCAACCGTTGCCAAAAACACATCAATCCTGTAGTGATGCTCCATGGTAATTGGATCATTTTGTTTTCGAATTCTTCCTCGACCTGCTTTATAAATGACATTCATATCAGGCATCTCTATATTTCGTGCATCACAAAATGTCTTTACATTGGTGAACAATTCATTCCATCCATTATCTCTGTAACTTTGAAGTCGATCCTTTGTTACTGAAACCAATTTAAGGGCATTCAAAATATCTTGAGATTTGCATTGTAAAGCTTGAGAAAGTACTTGTGCAAATCCTAAAATGTCCCTCATCATATGCATAACAAGAACAAAATCAAAGGATGTCATGAAATCATAAACTCTGTCAGCTTCACTTCTTTTGAGTTGATGTATTTCCATAATTGATAACATCAATTAGGACAGAGCAAATGTCTTCATATTCTGTGAATAAGCTACAGATAGAACTAAAATGAGACCCCCATCTTGTAGTCCCTGGCCGTTTTAAGGTACCCATCTGATTCTGACCCCTACCAGTCTCAAGTTCATCAATAGCAATCAATTCAGCAATTCTAGCAGCTCTAGCAACTCTAAGTTGGTCCACCCGTTTGCAAGAAGATGAAACTAAATTTATAAGAAGAGATAAATTTGTAAAGAATTGTTCCACAGGAATTACCTCTTGAGATGTTGCTACCAATGTTAATTGCAGTCGATGAGCAAAACAGTGAATATAATATGCATAGGGGCACTCCTGAATAAATAATGCTTGCAGTCCATTCCATTCTCCACGCATGTTACTAGCTCCATCATATCCTTGGCCACGAATGTTTTGCACACTAAGATTATGGCGAGAAAGGACATCACATATCTCCTTCTTCAAAGTCAAGGAATTGGTTTCGTGCACATGAACAATGTCAAAAAATCTCTCTCGAATATAGCCTTGCTTGTCCACAAATCTAAGAACAATAGTCATTTGCTCTCTTTTTGATCTATCTTGAGCCTCATCAACAAGTATAGAAAATTTTGAATCACTAATCTCCTCTCGAATATGCTTTTGTATCTTGATCGACCAAATGGACAATATCTCCTTTTGGATCGTAGGAGAAGTATAAGATGCATTTCGAGGAGCATTATCAAGAACCACAGCAGCCACTTTTTCATTATAAGAAGACACATGCTTGATCAACTCAATAAAATTACCTCAATTGTTAGAATCTAAACTTTCATCATGACCCCTAAAAGCCACCGCTTGAAATGCACACCATTTTGCAGCATCTATGGAAACTTGAAGTTGCAACCGATTTTTTGCAACCTGCTCAGAATTTTGCTTCTCAATAATTTTGTCAAGATGTTGCAATGAGTTTCCCAAATCATGATAGCATTGCATTGCCACTTTGTGTGATGAGTTAGGATCTTTTCCAATGTGATTTAAAAAAGCACAATTTTTTCCATCATTTACCTTCTTCCATGATCTAAATCCACTAGTTGTGAAGGCCATTGATCCAAAACGGTCCGTTGGCTTGGAAAAAAGTGAGCAAGGAAGACAAAAGGCAGCATTCTTTGTTGGAGAAAATTCCAACCAATCTGGAAACAATTTATACCAAGAGAAAAGGAAACGTCGGCCCTTCTTGTCAACAACCATTGATTCAATCGGAAGCTCAGGTTGGTATGGCCCAAACTTAGTATATGCTCTCCGTACCTCATCCCTTTGATGCTCTAGATATTCCCAAATGGATTTTCTCTTTCCAGGATCACGTTCTATGGATGAAATATCAAACTCTAATGATTCAGCTCTACAAAATTTATTTGTTTGATGCTTAGGAGAAGAATCACGAAGAGGACAAGGAATTTCACCACTTCCACTTGGTTCTAGACGTCTTTTCTTGAAAAAAGAATCAATTGTCCTGTTGGCCATTACCACTATATTTGCAACAAACAACAACCTGTAATCGAAATAAAATTGATTGAGAAATGCTGATTATGGCCTATAGAGATGGAATAAAAGCAGCAAGAACATTTGCAACCTAAGTAGACATAAGTGACATGCACAAAGTATTATTGAATAATAAAATGCAAACAAATGATAAAAGATCTCCATTAGAGCAGAACAAGTTCTCATTTCAAACATATCTCAAGGAAGTTTTCATAGCTTGTTATTAAATCGGCTGAACTTGAACAACTAACACCTACTTGAACTCATCAACTACTGTAATCCGAAAAATAATCAATAACTATCCATGCCAGTAAAAGTTTCTATAGTCTAAACAAGCATTACTATAAAGTATAAACGGAAACCGACCATAATAAATATGTACAATTTAAACTCCTTAAATTGCATAGCAAATTCTCAGCACAATGTCGAGAAACAAAGATAGACAATTCTAGAGGAACAAATATTCAGGAGGTCTTACTGCCTGCTGTCTAGAAAACCATGATAAATAAAGCAATGATAAAATAAAATCATTAAAATGACAAGCAGAAAACTAAAACTCAATGCGACAAGTTATTTGCCCAATAAAACTCAATGCTACAAGTACGAAAAATAATACAAGTTCCTCTTGATCAATTCATCAAACAACTAGCGGGCGAACTTTTTTACACCCACATTTCACTAAATAAATTTCTAAGTAAAAAAAAAATTTTTACACCCCTCCAATTGTAAAAAAAAAAATTACCTAGACGGCTAGACCATGCAAAATGCAATGGTACAAATGTACAATCCTTACTTTCTTCTATAATCATTCTTCAAGTCAAACCTGACTTCACCATTATGATTATCAAACAAATCACCTAAGTGGAAAACGATGCTACTCATTGAATTCACATAATCATTCTTGAGAGAAATGAAATTCAGCTCGGGGGTTTCATCTATTGCAAATCAGAAAGAGGGCAGTCTGGGCAGATGCAGTGTCCTCCAGGGAATATCGCCGTGCATGAAGGCCGCAAAATGTGGGGTTGGAAATGATCAAAAGCCATTGCTTGGAAACTCATCGGAAGCGAACAGGGGATTTTGGGGGCAAGAAAAGTAAAATCTGGGTTAGAAGATATTCGATATGGGCGATGATGATTGAGGAAAATTAAGAATCAGGACGTGGGGATTTAACGAGGAATTGATTTCTTTCCTGGCTGAAGTTGCTAGAGCAGAGGAGTTGGTGGTGCGGAAAAACACTCACCTGGCGTTGTTCTAATACGTGCCTAATCAGAGGAGATTTTGGCGTTGCAACTGAAGATCTTCGATTGGAGGGGCAGCCACCGGGATCCATTTCCGACTGGGAATGTTGACGGTGACATTGAGGGCTGGCATTCCTTAGCCAGCGGGGGAAGGTCTTCACAGGAAAAAGTTTCTTCAAGCCTTCACAGGAGAAAGTTCTTCAAGGCTCAAGCCTTTGACGTTTCTATTTTCTACTTTGACATTTCTACTTAGGAAGAAGAATTGTGGCAGTCAATTGCCAAAGTTAACTAACTGGTGTCTGGCTATCTTTTCTTTGCACTCCATACGTTAAGAAAATAATTCTTTGTTATTTGAACTTTCAAATATTATTATTTGGGCTCTTGGGGGGGCAAAGTAAATTTTTTGATTAATTTTTGGGGGGGCAAAACATAATAATAAAATTTTTTTTACTTAGAAATTTTTTTTTTTAACAATTGGAGGGGGGCGGTTGCCCCCCCTGGCCCCCCCCTTCCCTCCGCCCCTGCTCATAACCTTCAAATCTACGCCGAATTGCCACTCATGATATGAAGGAAAACTTCTATCATAAATTTTCTTCACAATAGGTGCGGTCTCTCCCATTAGCAGAATCACCTTCTCCTACATATTGGATACAAATTTCTTGTAACTGCCATTTTTCCTCTATGTTATGGCAGCATATATAAGAGGAATATTTCCTACGTTGGTTGTCAGTGTAAATATATTTTTAAATTAGAAAATTTGGATGCATGGTTCTTGATGTTATTCAGTTTTATCCTATATAATGCACTAGTTCTATAGTAAGAACAAGGACAATTACCGCATGGAAGGGCAAAAAGTGTACAAAATTAAACTAGGCTACGACTTCAAGTATCAAGGTAAGTGAGGAATCACGGTTAGTCTGCTTGGAAAAGCAGTACAAAACCAAAAAGCTTATGCCAGACATAAACTGAGGACCAATTCCATAATTTACTTGTAACTAGTACAGCATCCACTCCACTAAATTGATGCTAGTAAATTCTTTTTTTCTTTCAAAGAACAAGGACTATCCTCAGGCCTTACTTAGACAGTATGATTTCTACCTGTTTCAAAATTCTTCCAAGCCAAGTACCTATACAAAAAAATGTGGTATATTAAATGATTTATTCTATTATGTGCTCTTAAGACGTATAATAAGTACAAAAAATATATAGAGTGGGCTCATTATAAATTTCAAACATTATCATCCACCTCTTAAATTGCGTAAACTTTATCGACTTTTGCAAACAACTAAATACAGGACCTACCTCTAATAGGGCACAAAATATAAGAGCTCATATTTAATTATGTACAGTACTAATTTGAGCTTATCTATAATTGATTTATTGATCCTTCCCACCAAGATTATCAATCAGACATGTTAGCACAGCTTGAGGGGCATATTAATTGCCACAGCAGTTAGCAGTTAGCAGTTAGCAGTTAGCAGTTAGCAGTTAGCAGTTAGTTTAATTACATTTACCTCCCTCTGGTTCGGCCAAATTGCCACAGTAGTTGACAGTTAGTTTAATTACATTTACCTCCCTTGTGGTTTGGCCAAATTACCAAATGAACCTTGAGATTTGATCAAATTACAACTTCCCACTAACGTCTGTTAATTTTGCCCGATGGAAAATGTAGAAAGACAGAGCCAAAAATATAACTTTACTAGATTACCAACGTACCCCTTATGCGCCAAATCCAAAAGCCATTTTATCACTCACACCATCAAAAGATTCTTAAAGCCTGTCCTGTCGTCCCCTGCTCCCCCTCTCTCCTCTTTAAGGCCACTCAAACCAACCTAGCCACATTATAGATGATTTTCATCCAAAAGAAAAATGAAAAAATCGCACAGGAAAAATTGGATTGAAGACCATGATTACTGCTTCATCAAAATCAGAGAGCACTCGTTGTCAAAGCATTTTGGTTTGTGCCAAGAAAGGAGCAAAGCAAAATTGGTAACCCTTTACCCGATCTTGATTTGTATGGTTGTGTCGAGGGCTCTAACCTTAAAAAAAAAAAATGGCCTTTGTTGATGATTTAAAACGAAAGGAGACATTTTTACAGGAAATTGATGTTATTCAAGCTCCTAAGCAGCGAAACTCTCAAGTCCATTTATTCTGCAGAAGTCCAAGTCGAGCATCTCAGGTTAAGTTGAAGCTTCTACCACCAGGTCCGTCCAGTACGCATACCTTGAAGCTCTCATTGCTGCAATGGTGCGTATACTATATGCATCCGTGTATTAAAAATCTGAAACAGTAACATTTTCATGAACAATTGATATTAATGTTGTTTCGATACAACACATAGAGCCAGTCTAACCGACGCGCCATAATCGTTATGGAATATGGACAGGCCAGTTGCAGATCTAATAAAACATATTTCAGGAAAAAGTACTGAAATTTTTTTTTTTAAAAAAAAAAAAGAAAAAAGAAAAAGCTTCCCAACCAGTCGAAAATGAAAGGTAAGAACCACTCTGCCCTTTTCGTCGCTGTAACTGTTGTTTGATAAGAACTCCAAATCATAAGTAATCATCATAACTGTAAATTTGATACAAGAATTTCATTCATTTTTTAGCTTTTTGCAGTTAGCTTGATAATCCCAAATCTGTAGAACCCAAAAGATTTCCTAAACCCAAAGTGAAAGGATCCAAAACTCACCCGTAATAGTTTTTAGCGCTTGCCACCCGAGTTGCAGCTTTACGATTTGGGACAGGAGAATTCCTTCTTTATTTTATTAACCGACTCTTCGTACACGTGTTTTACTCTGTGTGCAAACAATGCGGCCCTTTAGCGGAAAAGGGTAAATATGGAAGCTAATATTTGCTGTTCATGAGACACGGGCACTATGAGGGTATTTCTGGGCCTTGGTGCTACATTTTTGCTGACATCGGCTCAATGTCTAACGTCCATGGACATTAAGAGGGTATCTTTTTGCCCGTTCTTTTTGTTTTGTTGGGGCGAGGGGATTTGTAGTTTTGCCTAACCTCGGGGGTTTTGTTTTGTAATTTTGCCAGACCATAAGGGAAGTACATGTAATTACCCCTAATACTGATTGACGGGAATTCATGGTAAAGGTTGGATGTATATACCGAGATTTGGAGAAAATTTGATAATAGAATAGTTTTAACATTGATACGGTTCGAGGATTCTTTAGTTCTTCAATCCATCATTATGTATCAATATAACTACCAAAAAAATTGATTAAGTTGAATAATTGGTTAATCATATTATTTTTAGTAGTATATTTATTAGTTTTCTTATTAATTTTATGCATAAGGATTGTAATTGTATGGTGAAAGAGAAAAGATCGTGAATGAAGCTAAGTCAAGTCGAGTCAGGCACTCGACATATGGCCCGTCATATTCTAGTTCTTGTTTAGCTTATAGAACTACTAAAATAAATGGATGATTATCATTAAATCGGACGTAGAGTCAAACATTATTGTCAGATAACATTCCAGTCAAATAACGCACTTTTGTTTGTTTTGGGTTTTACGTATGTTTTGTTTCCTTTTTTAAGAGTAGGGCTCATTGTGACTTATAAAGGCATAGTTAGGATTTTTGTAAGGGATTCCTTTTTCATCAAATATTAATGAATTTTTGCTTGGTTATTCCAATTGTTTGAAAATTTTCTCTCGTTATCATTGACTCAAAGATCCGTGTTTAGGGTTTGAACGTAATTTGATCCTTTGTTCTTCTATCAATTTTGTTCGTAAAATGAATCCAAAATTTACGCTTCTGCTACCGCATCAAACATATTCAACAATGCTCGCTATAATCATTTTGTTATTGAAAAAGGAAAATATTATTGACACTCCATATTTAGTTATTTACACTTTCATCATTTATTATTGTATCATATAGTTTAATAAATAAAAATTATATAATAAAAATGATAGAGGGAGTGTAAATAACAAGGAGTGAAGTCCAAACTACACATTACAATTCTATAGTAGTTCATATCCGCGAGCAGCGCAGGGAAAACAAAAGACGGATTAGAATTGCGCAGATCGAAACAAATGAAAGTATCGTCCACTGGTGCAGTGGTGCCCACAAGCCGAGTCGTCTGACTCCAATCTCTGTAGCGCTAATGATCTTCAACGCAGCATTTCCTCCACTCGAATGTTTACTTTTACCTTACGTAGATCGGTTAAGACGAAATGTCGGTGCACCTGCTTAAACCACCACACGGTCGTAATTAGGGTTGGAGCTAAACCAACTAGCTGCTCGCGAGCTACTTGGTCAGCAGCTCGAGCTCAGTTGACCAAGCTCAATCTCGAGCTTGAACTGCTCGTTAGAACTATCGAGTCGAGTTTGATCTTGAAAATATAATACTCGAGAGTTCGACGAGCTCTATCGAGTTTTTTTATAATATATATTTTAATTTTGGAATAATTGCAGAAACCTCCCCTGAGATTTCTGATATTTACACTGACCTCCCCTATCAATTTTGAAATTACATTAACCTCCACTAGAAAAAGTTGGAACTAATTTAAAAGGTAAAAGTGTGTGAAATTACTAGAGTACCCCTATTGGATTTGACTTTATCAGATGAAAGGTTTGAGTACTTTCATCAAAACCAACGTTTAATTTGTTAAACAAATTAAACTAATCAAACTATTTTTGCATAATTAAATTAATTAACTAATTAACTAATTTCTATTTTATCTAATTAACTAATTATCTAATTAATTAATTATCTAATTAACTAATTAACTAATCAAACTATTTCTTCATAGTTAAACTAATAACTAATTATCTAATTGTTAATAGTTATTAACTAATCAAACTATTTCTGCATAGTTAAACTAATTAACTATTAACTATTACTAATTAACTAATTATTTAATTAATTAATTAACTAATTAACTAATTTATATTTATCTAATTAACTAATTAAATAATTATCTAATTAACTAAAGCTGTTGTCTGTCCGAAACTAACAAACTATTTGCATGTTGAACTAATTAACTAATTAACTACTTAACTAACTAATTATCTAATTAATTAATTAACTAATTAACTAAATTTTGTTTATCTAATTAACTAATTGTCTAATTATCTAATTAACTAAAGCTGTTGTCTATCCGAAACTAATAAACTATTTGCATTTTAAACTAATTAACTAATTAACTGCTTAACTAATTAACTAACTAATTATCTAATTAATTAATTAACTAATTAACTAATTTAAATTTTACTGTAACACTTTTTGAATTTTACTTACAAACATTGATGTTTTTATCATAAATTAAATGTTTGAAAGTAAAATACCCATAAAGAGCCGATACTTTAAATAGGTAATGCGTACTGCATATAGTTTAACATGCAAATAGTCTGTTAATCAGTTAGTTAGTTAATTAGTTAATTAGTTAAGCAGTTAATTAGTTTAACATGCAAATAGTTTATTAGTTTCAGACAGACAACAACTTTAGTTAATTAGATAATTAGTTAATTAGTAAATTAGATAAATAGAAATTAGTTAATTAGTTAATTAATTAATTAGATAATTAGTTAATTAGTTAATAGTTAATAGTTAATTATCTTAACTATTAACTAATTAGATAATTAGTTAAGCAATTGTCAAGCAAATAATAATTGTCAAGCAAGATGAGGGCAAAATTGGAAGAAATGTTTTATCTCACTTCTACAAATAATTTTTTAATGGGACATCAAGCTGTCAGGGAGGTTTCTGCAACGAATTGTTACTGTTCAGGGGAGGTGAATGCAATTTCTAAACCTAGATGGGAGGTCAGTGCAAATGTCAGAAATCTTAGAGGAGGTTTCTGCAATTATCCCTTTAATTTTAATTATTGTGAAATGTCAATAATATCCTTTATTTAAAATTATATATAAAATATTAATTTTTATTACTTGAGTTTGATTAGACTTGATTGAACTCGAATAAGCTCGATTGACTTTGATTTGAATTAATTACATTTAATTAAACTCGAGTTCGAATTTTAAAAGCTTGACGAGCTCGAGCATGGTTATTTTGCCTCGAGTCAAGCTCGAGTAGTGCAGTGCACTACTCGAGTTCGACTCGACTCGACAGCACCCCTAGTCGTAATAGAGGAGCTTAATGAACTTGAGCTCACTACACTACTCGAGCTCGACTCGACTCGACAGCACCCCTAGTCGCAATAGAGGTCGCTCGGGATTTGCATTGGTCTTGTGAAATTGCGGTAAGAAACCATAGCCATTTAAAAGTTTAGCATCTGCACTTGTTGGATCGGCGATGACATTCACCTGTCTTACTACCGTCTACATTATCTTCTGCTGTATAAATAGTGGTATATGGTTGAGGAACATTTTACCTTGCATCACTCGGTTGTTGGTCAAAAGCTCGAAATGGTAAAAAAAATACAAAATAATAATAATAATAAAAAAGGAAACATCAGTTGTTTTTGGGGGGGTTTAGGTGGTAAATTAAAGAAAAAACACCTGCCTCTCTTAGTGGAAAATTAGAAACTTAATCTAAAGAATTGTACATTTTACCTTGTACGACGTCAATAACAAACGTTTTTTTGGTCTACACGACACTAGAAATGTGTCCATGATTATGAATCCATGGTGATGAATAAGATGGTGAATTACTGCTAGCATGATTTCTTTCTTGGAATCCCCCGTAGTAGTAACTAGGCATTATTATTATTATTAATTTGTCACGTTCAATATCCACGCACATTAATTAATTAATGAAGGCGGGTGGACCGATGTTGACGGAGCTTCAAAAAGCCAACTAAATTTGGTGGGCAGAGTTAAATGGCATGATAAGTACGTGCATTACGACTACGTACAAATATCAAAAGTCCTTTGGGCTTGAAAAAAAGACTACGTACAAGTTTAGCTTACCATCCCTGAATCCTGAGTGAGTGGGTTGTGCTTATCCACTTCTCTCTTCTCTGAGTAGTATAATGATTGACTCAATGGTGAACATTGACTCTGCTTATATAGTAGTAGTAGAATTTTCCTAACTTTATTGCCATTACTTCCTCTTCAACGCTTCAACCAATAACCAATCATCCATTGGTTCTTTTACTTTTTTCTTTCTTTCCTTGTTTCTTTAGCGCTCAACAAAGCCAAGAAGTTGAATTCGTCGACAGCACAGCCATGTCTCTTGATAATAATGTCTCCAGCTTAGAATCCAGGTTTCTCCTTCTCCTTCTTCCTCTAGCTAGCTTTCAACCTTTCTTTTTCTTTCTTTTTTTTTTTTTTTTTTCAATTTATGCTGCGCGTTTCTTTCTCACAGTAGCGTATCCATTTTTATTTTAGCTGAATCATGGCCATTTTCCCTGTAATGGCTGCCTTCTTTTGGCTCCAGAAAGGATTACCCTTTGGAATTCATATCTGGTTAAAAAATTTTTAATAAAGCACCCTCTGCTCTGTTTTCTCTTTATACTTTTCGATATTGTCTTAGCTCCCAATGACGAGTGGAGGTTTTTTTTATTATTTTTTCCGATGCTATTATGAGTTTTGCATGCTGGTTAAGTGCTTTTTATTTTCTACTACTATTTTTTTGTGGGCGTGGGTGTTGTTGGGGGGGGGGGGTAAAGTAGAACAAGAACAAGAACAAGAACAAGAAGAAGAAGAAGAAGCTGAGCTACCTGGTTCATTTTGTGATACCGATGGACGATTAAGTGTGAAAGCGATAACTCTTTAAAAGTTTTGTGCTTTTAAGGTTCGCTGATGGGGAGGTGCAAATTTCCTTTAACTGCTAAAGAATTATGCCACAATGCCACTGCCCAGAAGCTGAAAATTTTACCTCTTCAATGGTAGTAAAACTTATCACAAAGAAAATGGTCTTAGGGGAGGTTTCTGTCATTTTCTTCAGTTTCGTAGAGAAAAGGCTTCGTCCCACTTGTACTAATAATTTTTGGATAAATATTACACGAATGCTACTTCAAAGTCTTCTATTGCTGTTAGGTCGTATCTGAAGGAGGTTGTAAAACTCGTTAAGTTGATCCATCACCATTATTTGAGCAGTGATTGGCATTTCTTTTAGATAAACTAGTTCTTTGTTAATTTCTTTGAATTTTCTATTGGTGATGGCCCATTCTCATTTTATTTATCTATTTCTTTGAATCTAGTACTGCTGTCTGGCCAATACTCATGGCCTTTAGTGTTAAAAGGTGAAATAATGCACTTTCATGGTTTTAAAATTTACATGCCTGCGTTAAACAGGAAGAATCATTTGATAATGTTTTGGTTTATTGAATTCTTTGTTAACCTGCATTATGTTACAACTTGTTGCTAGGTATCTGGATTCCTGCAAGAGGCATCAGGCGCTACCAAATACTGCAGTCGTGTCATGGCTTCATAAGGTTTCCTAGCATTCAACTTGTTTTGTTGTTGTTTTTTTTTTTTCTCTTTTTTTCTCGCTTTTTCTCCAAATTCTTCTACTGCAGGAACAGTTTACATAGTATTGTTTGCTTCTTGATAGAATAAAGTTTTATTTTTTATTCTTCATTTTTCAAGTTTTCTGGGTTGATGGAATAAGATTAGAAATGAATGACGTAAAACCCATGGTTATGGCAATTTTTGATTTCCCATTCAGCAGCTCTGGATGACGTTTGGTTGTATATATGTGGGTGAATTAATTGGTGGCAAGCTCTCTTTGTTTCATGAATGTGTTTATTGCTCCGTGCTTTGTAACTACACCACAACTCTTGTGGATAACTACAGTCCTCAATTATTTCCTTCCAAGGGGTTATGATCCATCGTATGGTGAAGTATTTCTCTTCTTGTAAGTAGATTTCAAATGTTTATCTTATTTCATTCTGATAAGAAGCTTCAAACTTCTGTGCCACTATGAGGTATATCCCTTGATTTACATAGCTACAGTGCTGAATTTTGTGGATATAGCATCCTTGTACACTTCCTAACTCTTGGACTTTACCCTGATGACTTTTTTTTTTTTTTTTCAGGCTGTTATACAGAGAATCAACCACCAGAAATGCACTATAGAAGTATTCTTAGACCAACTTGAGGATTGTGATTTATCTCCAGTTACAGATGTCTTCCTTGATGTGCAGTGTGATGCAGTTGACATTCTTTGTAGATCACCCTGTGTCTTAAACCAAGAATCTATATTGTCTCTAATAAATGCAGCCAATTCAAAACTTGAAGTCATTGATTTCCAAGATGCATCTGTCCGGAAGGATATCTTATGGTATGTTTTACAGCTCTCCTATACGATTTAGTTTCAATACCACATGAGAGTTGCTTTCTCTTACCCAGACTATCTTCTAAAACTCATATGGTCCACCTTATGTTGCTTACTTTCCTCCATGACGAAACAGCTACAAGAAACAGAAGTAGAAACTTCGAAAACAGGATTTTGCATTATTGACTTGCTAGTTCCTCTGTGGTCGTAATGCAATCATGAATGCATAACTTGGGACTAAAAAACAATAAAAAAAAAATTCTAAAAGAAATCAAATTTTTTATTTTTGGCAAGACTTAGCTTCTCCTATCCAACCAAACTTATCGTTTGCCTCCATGTATTTTTACAGTGATATTCTCCATGGTGGTTTAAAATGTCATGTCATGAATTTAAGGTTCAATGAGTTCCATGCTTTCAACTTCGCTGGAGGCTTTATGCTATTACACACCCTTAGTCTTGACTTCTGTTCTTCTCTCTCTACATTGGAGAATGATTGTTTTGTTAACATGCCAAATCTGATGCGGATATCTCTATGTGGAACAAGAGTTGCAAATCTGTGGACAACTAGTGCTGCCTTGTCCAGATTAAATTCCTTGGTTGAAATCCGGTTTCAAAACTGTGCGTGCTGCAAAAACACTGGATCATGTCCTACTTTGTCCAGAGAGAGAAGAGATCTTGCTTGTGACAGAAATGTGGCAGAGCACACGAGTGAGCATTCAAAGTGTCAACAAACAACTATTTCTGTTGGGAATGTTGAATCTTCTATTCAAGATGAATCGCCCAAATTTGTCTCTGTTGGAGATTCATTAGTAAATATTCATACTCACAGCATATCTCACAACTCAATAGATGATAGATTAATAGGTAAGATGTCATATAATCTTCATGGAATTAGCTCATCTGGTCGGTCTTCCAATGCTCATCCTGTATCAGTTGGCTTGAGCATGCTGCAGATTGAGGTCTGAAACAGCTTTACTTGTCTTATTGATAGATGGAACACAATTATTCTGTTATTTGATCAATTGTTTGGCATATGCCAGGTTTCTCATGCAAAATTGGAGACTGAAGAGGATGGTGAGTCCCCTACAAGTGTGCTTGACTTGGATGTGAAAGATTCCTCAATTGCCTCTAAAATGAAAGTTCTAGAAAATCCTTCTCCAATCTGCTTTGAGAACCACTACAGGGAGTACATGATTGCATCACTACCCCATTTACAGGTTCTAGATAACATCCCAGTAAGACTTGTGGACAGGGACATGGCCAAAATGGTCTTCTCAAAATATTTTGAGTACTTGCCATATAAACGACAGCATGGGGAGAGTGTTAGCAACATTTTGTATATGCGTGAGACAGGAACAAGTTGTGGATACCATGAAAGGTCTACCATAAAGAAGCAGTCATCTTGCCAAAAGAGTAAATTTTTCTATACCAGGTCCATTTGTGCGGCAAAATTTGGCTCTTCAGTGTGGCCCGTCCACCTTCCTATGTCTCAGATCTGCAGTACTTTGGGAGAAGGTAGCAGAAGCCTCCGGCCTAGGCAGTTTGAGTATCACCCATCTGATGCTTCTCTAATGGGTTTTGGAACACTGGATGGGGAAGTGGTTGTCATCAATCATGATAAAGGAAGCCTCTTCAAGTATATTCCAGCCTTGGAAACTTCTAACAGTGCAATGGCACTATGTTGGCTTAATCAGCATCCAGCAAAGGTAGGCACTTGCCTTGACTGCTGTTTTATTTGTCATGATTTTGTTACTTTATCATAGCTCGACGTACAATCTGATGCTTCGGTGCTTGTCCGCATTGAAGTATTCTAGTACAAACAAACTGAGGGCTCTAAATTATGGAGTTTCAAACTACAGGATTATGGGGCTACTGCTGATTATTTATTCTTGATTTTGCTATGTTAGCTTCTTGCTGGTTTTGAGAAAGGTTCCTTGAGATTATATGACATCAATCAAGTGACAACAAAAGTTGAGGATAGCCGTTGGACTTCCAGCACTAAATTCTATGATGACTTTGATCAGCTGACTTCAATTCATGTTAATTCAAGTGATGATAAGTTCTTGGCTAGTGGTTATTCGAGAAAACTTGCAGTATACGATCTCTGCACTGGCAGACGCTTGCAGTTGTTGACAGATATACATCGAGAAACAATTAATGTTGCTAAATTTGCCAATTGCTCTCCACACCTTCTTGTTACTTCATCATATGACTGTGATGTCAAGATGTGGGATTTAAGACAAAAACCAACACTACCTTGCTATACTTCTTCAAGCTCAAGAGGAAATGTAATGGTCTGCTTTTCACCTGATGACCTTTATCTGCTTGTATCAGCCGTGGACAATGAGGTATTTAGATTGTAACTCAAGCCCTAAAAGCAGTCAGATTGGCATTAACTACAGCTACTACTAATATACATTAGATTAGAGCAGAATGCAAATTCCTGCCAGAGGCCTGATAAGTCACCCCCTTTAATTCAGTTAGGATTTGTAATGCTACCAGAGTGTGACTTAGTAGATTTAAATGTGACAAGTAACAAAGTCAAGAACAACCAAATTATCAGTGTCACGTGATGTCAATACCATTGAGCCATCAATTTTTAAAAAACACTAGCAGTAATTAGTTAATGATCTTGTGCCAGTTTAACATGAGGCTTAATTGTCATGGTCGCAGGTGAGACAACTTTTGGCCGTTGATGGGAGGCTTCACACAAGATTTGAAATATCTTCAACAGGAAGTTCTCATAATTTCACTAGATCATATTACATGAACGGTAGAGACTATATCATCAGTGGAAGTTCTGATGAATCCATTCTAAGAATTTGCTGTGCCCAAACGGGAAGGCGGTTAAGGGATGTCCATCTGCAGGTATAGTGCAGTCTTGGAGCATTTAAGATACGTGCCTTTCTTTGTTATCAGCAGTGACTTCCTGCAAAAGACAAATTTAAGAACAATCAACTGAAAAATCACGATAGCATGTCCTGAAAGCTTGCTTCCTTGATTTCTTTTACAGGATAGGACTCTGGGGAGCTCAATGTATGTGCAGTCTTTGAGAAGTGATCCATTTCGTGTAAGTTGTCTCGGCTTCAAAATGGCGTCTTCCTGAAGTATTTTATTACCGAGTCTCTTTTATTGTCCGTGCAAGTGAACGGTTCCTACTCACTGCCAATGTTTATGTTTTATTTTTCATTTTTTTCGAAACAGCACTTTCATATGGCTGTTTTAGCTGCCTATGTTCGTCCAAGCTCACGATGGGGGATTGTTAAGGTAAAAGTTAAACCCCCTCATTCTTCATATCAATGACGACACGTCATCTTTTGTGATGGTCAGTCAAATGCACTTCCTCACACAGGTCAATTTGCTGGCTTCAAGTCATCATGCTAAACAAGATTCTGAATCCCAAGATTTCTACCCTCGCTTTGGATGGGGAGGTTGATTATACTTTTAGAACTCACAAGTCCTATTACCAGGACCTCCTTCAAAGTCCAATCTTGGCTTTGTTCAGTGATATGTTTAAAATGGAGGTATCAAAATCCATTGGGTTATGAAGAGTATTTTTGGAGGGGAAATGTTTTTTTGCCCTCCCCCACCCCACACAAACACCCAAGAAAAAGATCCTTGAAAGGTAACATGCATTGGGAGGTACCAGGTTTGGCACCTAAAGTGCGGCCAAACTTCTTACAATGATAATGTAGACATCCTGTGCGGTTTCCCTAGGCAATGGCAAGTTGTAGACGGTAGTTAGGAGAATGCAGAGAGCTTTACGCCTTCGGAAAATGTATGTAAGATGTTTGACGGACAAGCTGTGTGGAACCTTCTTTGCACGAAGAGCTTTGTTAATTAGGACTGTCTCCTCGAGTGTCAGCAAGCCCACTAGGTCACGCCATGTCGAAAGCATCTAATTATTTGCCCGGCTTCTTTGAGGCACTTTTCTCTTTTGAATACTGCTTACCTGTGTCCCATTCTGTCTCTCCCATCCCATCCCCGGAAACCCTTTACACTGATTCATGTCGTTTCCTAATGCAACAAACCTCCTGTAAGTACTTAGACTGCAGCGCCAGGACTCGTAATGTGACTGCTTAACGGCAGGTTTAGAGTTGATAACTTCAAACTAATGAACTGAAGGGTTGCTTGCCGTCTCTTAGATCGTGTTTCTGCGGCTCAAAAGTGTGCTGATAGATGTGGGAAGGCAGGAGTGAACCTTATTGCCAGAGATGCAATTGCGTTCCCTCAGGGACCTATGGAAACAAGTCACGAGTGCCCTTGTTACAGAGACATGCTCAATTCTAAAGAAATTCCCAAGTGCCCTTGATTCATCCATCGGCATTTGATTTGAAGCTCACCATGCCAATGGCCTTAGAAATCATCTAATTTATGATAAAGAAAACCTTTAACAGATTTTCAACATATGTAATCTCCAGAGGGTCATTCTAGATTTTCAAGATTTGTTACCTCCAACTCCAAGCGGCCACATGAAAATTAATGCATTTGCTGTATCTTTCGTTCTTTTTCTTTTTATTTTTATTGAGATTTTCCGCCTCTCGAGAGATCACACGTCGCAAGCAGAACAGAATGAAAACCAGGACGAGTTAATGGTTACAATGAGACTCGTAAATCACAGAAAGAACCAAGAGATCGCAAAATTAATTGAACTCAATCAATTTTCTAATGACTAATAAATTTCAAGCTAATTTTCTGTCCCAAACAGACAACCATTTGGAAAATCTCAGTGTGGACTTTGGAACACTATTTCTGATCTTCTCAAGCCATAATTATCAAGGTTCCAAATCTTCTCAACAACTTCTAATTTCTTTAAAAGCAAAAACAGGAGTTGGAGAAGGATAATAAATTAGAAGCCACACAACAGATAAATCAGTTCAAGATGCAAATGAAACAAATCAAACACATTTGACGTAAAGGGAAAATTCTCCAGCAGATTTATTGGCCTACCATCCAAGACAGCCAAAAATATTGCACCAAGTACAATATAATATACCTGTTCCCTAAGATCGCCACAGGTGAGTACACTCAAAAATCATGTATCAAAATGATTAACAGCAAGAGAAAATAAAAACTTAGAAAAGAAAATTAAAGAAAATATTGCTCTCACAGATAGACTGGTAACTTGGAAAAAAGTTTAACTAGCTTTGCCAGGACTGTATATCAGAAATTGTGCAATATAAATCTTACATGTCACATCACTCATCAACCTCCGCTCTTATTTCCTTGAGGAGCTCTTCCTTGTACTCCTCAAAAGTGCCGGGGAAAGTCTCGACAGTCCCATTCTCCACTACCCAAATTTCACTTCGTTCTTCATCTTCGCATACGCGTGATATAAGCCTTGAGTCATGGCTGACTAGGACAACACCGCCAGTAAACTCATCAAGCGCATCAGCTAGTGCATCAATGCTCTGCATATCCAAATGATTAGTTGGCTCATCCAATAGCAAAATATGTGGCTTTGACATGGAAATTGAAGTGAAGACAACCCGGGCCTTTTGTCCTCCAGATAATTTTGCAATTGGAGTAAGGTGATTATGGCTGGGGAGTCCAAATTTCCCCAGCTTTGCACGAACAGCCTCTTGTTTACTCAGGCCCTCTTGATCAGGATGAAGACGAAGAAGATATTGAACTGGCGTCTCATCCATTGTCAGAAGGTCCACAAAGTGCTGTGAATATCTGCCAATCCTTAACTTTTGACTCCTCCGAACTTCACCCTCTGTGGCAACTAAATCACCAGCAAGAAGATTCAGCAAGGTAGATTTCCCAGCACCATTAGGCCCCACAATAGCAACACGAGTTCCCATATCAATACCAACATCTACATTAGATAGCCTAAAATCCTGTCGATTTGGATAGCTGAAACTAACTTCAATGAGCTGCAAGAGGGGAGGTGTTAGCTCTGTAGGCTCAGGGAAATGGAACTCCACAGTGTAATCTCTCCACTTTTGAGGGGCCTCATGCTGCGGCTCATCCTCATCAGCCTTGCCTTTAGCTTTGCTCTTGGACGTTTCCTTGGCAGCATTAAATTTGGCTCGATCTTTGACCTTCTCCTGTTGAGTGCGACTTCCAGACCTCTTGGCAGCTTTCAACTGCTTGTCATAAATCTCATACTTCTTATTCATCTCTTTGCGACGCTGCTCATATCCACTTTCAAAACTATCAAAATTTCCACGATAATATTGCAGCTTCATGTCATGGAGGTGAATAATTTCATTGCAAACAGTATTAAGGAAATCACGGTCATGCGAAACAACAATAAGAGTTTTCTTCCATCTGCATAAGTACTCCTCTAACCAGAGAACGGCCCTCAGGTCAAGATGATTGGTGGGTTCATCCAATAGCAACAGAGTTGGCTGAACAAAAAGTGCCCGAGCTAGTGAAATTCTCATCCTCCAACCACCACTAAATGACCTGGTAGGACGGGCCTGCATATCCTTGGTGAAACCCAACCCAGCAAGAATTTTTGATGCCTGAGCCTCTGCAGCATCCGAACCCATTAGCTCCAATTTTTCATACAACTCGGCAAGCTTCTCCCCTGCATCATCATCATCATCGTCCTTCTCATCACCAACAGAATCTGAAGATGCATTCTGCAAACTAGCTACCTCTTGCCGGAGGTTGATGAGTTCTTCATTAGCTGCAACAACTGCTTCAAGAGCAGTTCTATCATCACCAACCACCTCTTGTTCGACCAAAAGGACATCTATGTTTTTGGGTACGGGAATCTTCCTCCAAGCAAGAAGCTTCAATAAAGTAGACTTGCCCTTGCCGTTGGGACCAACCAATCCATACCTCTTTCCATGAGATATCTTAACTGATGCATTCTTTAAGAGCTCCTTTCCCCGAGCAGACACCGAAAAATTATCAATTGTTATATCCTTGACATTGGCATCAGCTTCATCCTGACCATCAAGAACAGAAGCACGGCTACCAATAACTACCGTAAAAGCATCATGATCATCTTTAAGGGCCTCTTGTTTAGCAATCTCAGTAGCTTGGGCAGCAATCATATCCTTCTTTTCTCGTTTCTTCAACTCTTTGTCAGTAACCAAAATTTCAAGCGGCCTACCATCAATTCTGTTCTGTCTGCTTGGATGCGTACGAGAAGCATTCTGTCCCTGCTCTTCATCAGAACCATAGCCTTCCTCCTCTTCATCATCAGAAGGAGGGAGATCAATATCATCAGTGTAAGCTGACACTTTGGGAGCTGATTTTGACCTCGGCTTACTAGTTACAGAGCTCAACGAAGAAGATGAACTCTTGGTCTTTTCAGGTTTCTGGTCCATACCAGCAAGCATAGCAGAAACAGAAAGCTTCTCTTTTTTCCCGTCTTTACCACTTGGCTTAGCCCCAACATCATCTGTTTTCTTCTTACCCATCGCAGTGCTTTAATGACCAAAAAATAAACAACCAAAATTAAAAAGTAAATGAGGCACAGACCCGTAAAATCAACAAAAAAGGAAACGATAACAGATAACAGCCAGCCGAAAAAAAAAATTAAAGATCAATTGAAAAGGAAACGAATGAATGGTCATCTAATATCAAACTTTTAGTAGATGAAGAAAAAGATAACCAATCTAGCATCTAAACCAATTCTTCATGGGATGTGATGATGAATTGAATTCGAGGAGGGGAAAAAAGACAGAACGCAAACCAACATACAGAAAAGTTCAATAAACAAAAGAGACTAAATAACCTAATTTAGGGGCGCAAATAATAAAAGAGAAAAAAACCCAGAACGATTTGATGATACCTTGGAAAGAAATGAAAAGGAGCTCGCTTTGGATCTCAAGTTCGTGGAAAGCTTTTCTCTAGGGTTTGGGAAATTTTAATTACAAAAGAATATGTATGTTGGGAGCTTGGCAGGGGAGGGATTTTTGCAGTGTATATCTATCCGAAAGGGAAATCGGGTCGGAAGCCGCAAAGAAAGAAATTTTTAAGTGCCCGGAAGAGGAAGCAACACTCGTGCATTTACATGTCTTGGTCGCACGCACCTGGTCCACCCATATGGGGGCTGTGATCACACGTGTCAGCTGCCAAAAGACTTTTTTTTGTCGATACATTTGTATAACTTATCTATATCTATATGTATTCAGGAAGGGATTTTTAGCAGAAACCCTCTCAATGCCTTCTAAACTTGTCATACTTTTTTCTAGATTTTTGTATTTATTTTAATACATAAAAAAGTAGTGGGTTATAACCCACCTTATCACCAATCAATATTCCCACTATCCCACTATCACCTTATCACCAATCAATACTCCCACTATCTCACTCCCACCATCCCACTATCTTAACTCATATTTTTGTATATTTATTTTAATACGTAAAAAAGTAGTGGGTTATAACCCACCTTATCACCAATCAATATTCCCACTATCCCACTATCACCTTATCACCAATCAATATTCCCACTATCTCACTCCCACTATCCCACTATCTTAATTCATCCTACAATTACTCCTACAAATTTATCACCAATCAATATTCCCACTATCCCACTATCACCTTATCACCAATCAATACTCCCACTATCTCACTCCCACCATCCCACTATCTTAACTCATATTTTTGTATATTTATTTTAATACGTAAAAAAGTAGTGGGTTATAACCCACCTTATCACCAATCAATATTCCCACTATCACCTTATCACCAATCAATATTCCCACTATCTCACTCCCACTATCCCACTATCTTAATTCATCCTACAATTACTCCTACAAATTCTTCTTTTACTGATCGACTTAATTAACTTATCGAGTTAATTCCCTCACCCTCTCTCTCAGTTTCTTATTTGTTTTGGGTTCTCTATCGATTTTGTAAATGTATTGATTTTGTTTCTTTTGTGAGCAGTAGTGGAAGATATTATGTGCAGAGACTCCAGCAGAAATCAACCTTCTTGCGGCCGGCTTAATTTTTCAGGTCAGTCCCCTCTGCCTTTTAAGTATGTTTTGCTTTTGCTTTGTTTTTTGTCATGAATGATATTGCATTGATTTTCTGATCATCCATTATTTCTGAAAATTTTTTACAAAATCTTATGAACGGTTGTTTGCTTATTGTTACACTGTAAAGCAAAGATAAAAAGGTATTGCTTACTTATATAATTGCGGATGGTATAGGTTCATGATTGAAGGTTCTACTATTTCTAACATAAATTGTATATTATAAAAATTTATTTGTTTGTATTACTGAAATTTTTTTAATTATTTTTATTGCACATTTATCACATAAAATAGGTGTTACGATAGTTATTTTCATAATTTTATTCAAAAAATGATCGTGCATGAAATAAAAAAAAAGATTTTTTGATAATTAAAAAAAATAATTAAAAATGATTTATAATTGGAGAAAAACAATTCAGATACTACTAATAACTAAGCCACTATACGTCCATTATTAAAATTGGATTAATTTTTAATTTCGTCAGAAATCCTTTTGGCAAAATTGCATTCTAGCCTTTCTTTTCTTTATCAACAATGACAATTACAACTACGTGATTC